TGATGATGATGATGATGATGATGATGATGATGATGGATGATGAGGAGGAGGAGGAGGAGGAGGAGGAGGAGGAGGAGGAGGAGGAGGAGAGGAGGAGGAGGAGGAGAGGAGGAGGAGGAGGAGGAGGGGGAGAGGAGGAGGACAGGAGGAGGAGGAGGAGAGGAGGAGGAGGAGGAGAGGAGGAGGAGGAGGAGGAGGAGGAGGAGGAGGAGGAAAGGGGAGGGGGAGAAGGGGGGGGGAGGAGGAGGAGGAGGAGGAGGAGGAGGAGGAGGAGGAGGAGGAGGAGGAGGAGGAGGGAGGAGGAGGGAGGAGGAAGGGGAGGGGGAGGGGGGAGGAGGGGGGGGAAAGGAGGAGGGAGGAGGAGGAGGAGGAGGAGGAGGAGGAGGAGGAGGAGGAGGAGGAGAGGAGGAGGAGGGGAGGGGGAGGAGAGGGAGGAGGAGGAGAATGAGGAGGAGAGGAGGACGAGACGGAGGGGGAGGAGGAGGAGGAGGAGGAGGAGGAGGAGGACGAGGAGGAGGAGGAGGAGGAGGGGTGGCGAAGAGGAGAAGGAGGAGGAGGATGAGGAGCATGAGAAGGAGGAGGAGGAGGATGGGGAATGAGGAGGGTGGTGCGAGAGGAAGAGGAGGAGGAGGAGGAAGAGGAGGAGGAGGAGGAGGAGGAGGAGGACGAGGAGGAGTGAGAGCATGAGGCGGTGTATTAACAGGAGGAGGAGGAGGAGGAGGAGGAGCAACAGGACGAACGGGAGGAGGTGGGTTGATGATGATGATGCTGATGCTGATGCTGCTGCTGCTGATGATGATGATGATGATGATGATGATGACGACGATGACGATGCTGATTACGCTGATGATGATGGTAAGGCTGATGGTGGTGATGATGATGATGGTGATGATGCTGATTCCTGTGATGATGATGATGATGCTGATGCTGATGCGGATGCTGATGCTGATGGTGATTATGCTCATCATGATCATGATCATGATGATGATAATGATACTGATAATGATGATGATGCTGATGATGATGATGGTGATGATGGTAATGATGATGATGGTGATGATGCTGATGCTGCTGCTGCTGCTGATGCAGATGATGATGCTGCTGATGATGGTGATGATGCTGATGATGTTGCTGCTGCAGATGAAAATTATGCTGATGATGATGAATATGAGGAGGAAGAGGAGGAGGAGGATGGGGAGGAGGACGTGGAGGAGAATGGCGCGGAGAAGGAGGAAGGAGAGGGGGAGGGGGGCAAGCTAGGTGCGCTCGCGCCACATCTGACGTCCTACCCCTCCCTCCCATCCCTTACCATGGCGCTGATTTTCTCTATCCGCGGACGCGTGTCGTAGCGGACCTGTGACTCCGCGCGCGCGTGCGTAGTGGGTGGTGGTGCGCGTGCGTGCGTGCGTGCGTGTGTGCGTGGTTGTGGTGGTGTGGTGGTGGGTGGTGGTGGTGGTGGTGGTGGTGCTGGTGGTGGTGGTGGTTGGTGTGGTGGTGGTTGTGGTGGTGGTGGTGGTGGTGGTGGTGGTGGTGGTGGTGGTGGTGGTGGTGGTGGTGCGGCGCGGTGGTGGCGGGCGGATGGGCGCGCGAGAAAGAGGCCCGCGCTGGGGCGAGAACGCCATCCTGAACGACGGAGGCCAAACACCGATCCGAAAATGAGGCCCACGCTGCAGCGGGAGCACGATTCGGAACGATTCGGGAGCAGAAATGAGGCCGGCGCCTTAGCGAGAGCAACATTTCGAAAAAAACACAGGCGAAAACCCAACTCCCGGGAATCCTGTGTGTAAAAAAACGGAACGCGGGGGGGGTCGAATATTCTCAGGCCGCTTTCGGGGGAAGAGAGAGAGTAGTATTCATATTGAGTAATTGTGGAGGACGAGGGGGAGGGGGAGGCGGAGGAGGCGGAGGAGCAAGAGATGACGAGGAGCGGAGGAGGAGGACGAGGAGGAGGAGGGGGAGGGGGAGGGGGGGAGGACGAGGAGGCGGAGGAGGAGAAGATGAAGGGGGAAAGGATGAGGAGGAGGACGAGGACGAGGAGGAGGAGGAAGAGGAGGAGGAGGAGGAGGAGGAGGAGGGGGAGGAAGAGGAGGGGGGATGAGGAGGAGGAGAAACAGAAGGAGGAGGAGGAGGAGGAAGAGGAGGAGGAGGAGGAGGAGGAGGAGGAGGAGGAGGGGGAGGAGTTGGGAGGAGGTGGAGGAGGACGAGGGAGGAGGGGGAGGAGGAGGAGGACGAGGAGGAGGAGAGGGAGGAGCAGGAGGAGGAGGGAGGAGGAGATGAGGAAGAGGAGGAGGAGGAGGAGGGAGGAAGAGGAGGGGGAGGAAGGGGAGAAACAGGAGGAGGAGGAGGAAGAGAAGGGGAGGGGGAGTGGAGAAAGAGGAGGAGGAGGCGGAGGAGGAAGGGGAGAAATAGGAGGAGGAGAAGGGGAGGAGGAGGAGGAGCAGGAGGAGGCGGAGGAGGAGGAGGAGGAGGAGGAGGAGGCGGAGGAGAGGGGGGAAGCTGACGGAACCGGTATGAGGGAGATCTTTCTGCGGCCCTTCGCGGCGAGGCCATCGCCCCCGCAGCGGCGAGGGTTCCGTCGAGGCCGAGGCCGAGGCCGGGCGCGGTCCTGCGTCCGGGAGCGCTCCGGGTTCACGTACAGCTGCGAGAAGAGCTCCTACCCAGCTCGGAAGCCATCGGTAAGTGGCGACATCCGAGCCCTCCCCCCCCCACACACACACACCATCGATCATCCTGAATCGATGGTGGGCCTGGCCAGGGTCCGTGCATTATGTGCGGCGTAGAAGTTGAACAAACACTGCGCGAACATGTTTTTTCGGATGTCCGCGCGGATGTCTTGAATCCGCTCGATTCACTCCCCTGTCGCGTGGAGCGCTCTGGTGCCGAAGGCGCCGCCAAGGAACTCAAAGCCGATCTAAGAAGAGGACGCGGACCTCCGACAGTTTTAGGTCGCGACGTCCGAGTCCCACCGCCACCAACCATCGATTCTGCTGAATCGATAGGAGGCTCGCCACAGGTTCGACGACTTCCGAGCCCTACCCCAGCCGCCCATCGAGTCGTCCTGTAGGGCTCGGATTTCGCCACCGAATTGCAGCGGACGAACCCAGGTGGCGGATTCCAGAGACCCTGAACCTAAACATGTTGCTATCTGTTGGAGGCGCATTTTTTCCTTCCGCCGGCGGAGGCGGTCTCGATTTACTTACGCGGGCTTCGTCCTTTCTGGAACGCCTCAGGTCTCCAACGATACGATGCCAACAATCCCAGCGTTTTTTCAATTTTCGGCCTCGGGGGCTTGTTTTCGGGCCCTGGGAGCATCACACATTGCCCCCGGGACGCGGAACTGTCCCAGGGGAAGGACTCGGAACCTCTGGGATGCCGAAAGAAAAACATAGAGGAGGACGTTTGGGAAAGTGACGGATAACGGACAACAAAGGGTGAGGTAGCGTCGGCTCACGTGTAGCTGGCTTCTCTGGCGCCCGAGGCGCAAGTGTGTCGATGGACGCGTTCGGCGGTGGAGCCGAAGCCAGGTGCATACAACAGATTTAGGACAATCTCTCGGAAGAGGTCGAGTTGAGACAACGGCAACTCAAGATCGATCCGCGGACCCCTTCCACAGAAAAGCAACACACCAAACATGGAACACATACACTGAACCCGAAAACAAATAACATAAACTAAACATAATAACTGAAACACAAAATCCGGAAATCAAGACCAAAAAAACAAACGAATAGAAATCGGAAACAATACACCCACATAACGGAAACAATTGAAACCGAACAACGGAGTACAACAAACAACTGAAAACATTTAATCACTAACAGAACACGAATCAAGGTCAACGGGCTCTGGACACGGAACATTATTTCCATGTTGGGACATCTGTTTGATTTTCAAAGTTCGGCTGGCACCGGTGCCCAACGGAACCATCTACGGATCCGATCTACCCATCCATTCCCCTCTTCCTCACTCCGCATCCGTCCGGGACCCAACTCCTATTTCTCCTCATCCGTCTTTCACTTCCTCCTTGTTTCTGCGGTGAGCCGACTTTGAGCGGGGCTCTCCTCCTCCTCCTCCTCTTCCTCCTCCTCCTCCTCATTCTCCTCCTCCTCCTCCTCCTCCTCCTTCGCCTTTGCGGTAACAATTTCCTCCTGCTCCTCCTCCTACTCCTCCCTCATCGCTCCTCCTCCTCCTCCTTCTCCTCCTCCTCCTCCCCCTCCTCCTCCCATCGCCTCCCTCCTTCCATCGCCTCCTGTGGCATCGGGGCAGAGGATCTCTCCCGGGTGCGCACTGCTCGTCAGGGCTTGGACAGCGAGTCGCAGCCCTCCGACGCTGGGGTCTTTGTCAGGCCTCCGACCCGCATCTCAGGGCAACCACCAACCCCCTCTTTCCCCCCCCCTCCTCCTCCCTCTCCTCCTCCTCCCCCTCCTCCTCCTCCTCCTCCCCCTCCTCCTCCTCCTCCTCCTCCTCCTCCTCCTCCTCCTCCTCCTCCCTTCTAGCGGAACCCAAAAAGTAGCGATACCACCACCCACCCGACCTCTCTGGGGTGCGTTCTGACGGAAATTTCGCGGCGAATCCAGCGGTGGCGGCGAGGGCCTCCCAGGAGGCCGAAGAAGGGGAAAACGCGGGGGAGGGTAGCGGTCTCGCTAACTTCCTCTGACCTTCTTCTCACATCACCCTCCTCCCTCTACCCTCTTTCCCCGAGAGGTCTTCACACTGCCCAGGGAGCCCAGCAGACCTTCGGTCCTCGCCCCTCCTCCCGGCGAAAACGACGGGCACCAGGCGGGCCCGAGCCCCGCGGGCCGTCCTGGCCGGGCGCGCGCGCGTCCAACATCTCGTCCAAGGTGTAAGAGCTGAGGGTGGGCAGCATGTACGGGACGCCAGCCTCGAGCCCGGGAGGAGGGGAGGGGAAGCGAGGCGAAGGAAGACGAGGGAGAAAAAGGACGGACGAGGCAGATTGATCGTTTTCTTTCGACGGCCAAGACGGACAGAATGGGCACGATGTTCAACAGCCAATGTCATTCAAAACTGGCAGCGGAAGGTGTAGGGCAAACGGCATCTAGCCTCAACTGGACAACGTCCGTCTGCGACGCTATCGACGGCGAGCCCTTCTCAATATGGGCAGTAACTGTCGCTCTTCGTCCCAGGTCTTTATGACACCATTTCGATGGCACCCATTCCTTGAGATCCGAGGCTGCGAAAAATACAACATCGCGGGGCAAACATGGCCATTGCCCCAAACACCATCTTTCTGCTGTATTTTCCGAGCCCGATCGATCTGTGAGTGTCCTGGGCCCGAAGCCCGGCGAACACGCCTGGCATGAAAAAGCTGGATCGCAAGAATCTGAAGGTTTTGAAACTTTGGAACGTGGGCCCCCATCGGCCTTCTTAGCGGCCTTCACGATGGCCACCTCGCCGTCCTGGTGGGCCAGCTTCGCGAGGGCGGTGGCGGTGAAGTACAGCGGCAGCGCGGACGACACGCCCAGGAAGCTGGTGGTAAGGTCGATCTCCTCGAGGGGGAGGGGGAGAGGCCCGCTTCTCAGCGGACGAAGACTGGAGGGCCAGCCTCGAGGAACAAATAAGCTCTTTACAGGAGCCCAAGGACACAAATGAATACACACAATTTGCAAATAACCGGATTCCCCATATTTTCATTTTCTTTAGATATTCGTCTTCCCCCCCACTTCCCATATTTCCCAATGTTTTCCATATTTGTTCCTGAGTCGTTTCCCCTCCTGACTCTTGGAGGTCTGCGCGGATCTCTTAGATCCGCGCAGGAGCCCCCTCCCTGCCGCAGCGCGCCAGGGGCTGCGCCAGAGGCGCGGAGTTCCAACGGTTTACGCGATGCAGTTCTTCATTTTTCGACGGGTGGCACAACGGCGGCCCTCCCTGGCCTTCTCTGCTCTTTCTAGCTCCTCTGGAGGCTCCTCGTCGCCGCGGCTGGATCCGCCTCGAGGAATGGGCCAAGACGGAACCCAGGAGGGGCCTGCATGGGAACCGATCTTGAGAGAACTCGTGCCGGGCGGGATGGCCGCCATTGTCTCAACCGACTGACCCTCCTCCGAGGAGGAGGAGGCAGAGGAGGAGCAGGAGAAGCAGGAGGAGGAGGAGGATGGCCCTTCAAATACCCCAGGAGTCCCAGCAGAACATCCCAAGAGGCCGCCCCCGAGACCTCCGAGACGCCCTCAAGAAACCTCTACAACAGACGCGGAGGAAAGGGAAGGCGAATCAGCAACAACTATACTTAAGTCGGGCATGTCCTCCTAAAAATCCTTTTGGATGAACAATCAAAAATAATCAAACAATGTTCAAACATACGGAAAATAGTAAAGCATCATCCCCAGACATCTTTTCGACTGTGTTTGACTATTCCTCCTGTAGAGGGGCGTGCCCTGGGACTAGACGCAGACAACAAGACGGGAAACGACGCACAGACACCGAAACCGCACACGTTCTGTTCTAAAGATCGCCGTGAACCTCTTGAGCCATTTTTTCCGACGGGTCGCTCGCACCAGAGCGGGTGGAATGTTGATACCGAATTCTTAAGGGGTCGTGTTTTGACAGCCTGGGTCCGGGCGAGAGCCCCCAGAGGCAGAAAACTGTGCAAAACCTTGGGATTGTCCCCAAATGTGTGTTGCAAAGCCTCTGCTTCGTTCGCCAAACTTCGGAGGATAGGGGATCGAAGACCTGGCCTTGGCTATTAGCGCTGCCGTGGGGAGGCACCTCGTTTCCTCAGATGCGTGCCCCTGGATAGGTCCAGGAGAGGTCCAGGGCTCGATGTCGAAGGAGCCCCCAAACTTGAGAAACATCGGAAATCAAGGGAGCGACTGGCTGTGCCTCGAAACTTTCGGCGTCCAAGGACCGCTTGGAGGTCCCGAAAACGACGCGGTGACGGACCGCGCAGTGACCTTGGAACGACCTCACTGTGCGGTCAATCGCCGCGCTGTCTGGGACCTTGGAGGCCTCAGTTGCCCGAGACATCCTCGGACAATGGCCCAGGTCCCAGACCGTGCGGACACCGGACGGCCCGGGGGCCCCCGCGCCGGTTCCAGGCCCCGACGCCCCCGTGGAAGGGCCCCCTCTGAGCCCCAGGGCCCCAAATGATCAGACAACCACCTGCTCATGATTTTTCGGAGATGGCGCCAGAGGCGCCCCCAGGGGTTCCAGCGACGATCCAAAAAAAAACCGCGGACCTCCGGATGATTATGTTCATGCAATTTTTGGTCCTCGAATGCGGGGGCAGCGTCGGGTCACAACCACATCGAGAGGTTGTTTCCAACAGGGCTCCATTCGGATCGAAAAGTTTTGAAAGTTGGAAAAAATTGAACGATGGGAAATCTGTCAATCTGGGGCTCATGGAATCAAAATCTAAAACAATTGAAACTTGTTTCAACCAAACGCCTGCGGATTGAAATATTGGCAGATACGGATAACATATATTATTCCAATGTTCCGTTCGTTCAGTCCAGGATTCCTGGATTGAAAGATGCGGCAACTTTTCATTCGTCGACTCTTTCAATCCAGAACTCCCTGGGTCAGCAATGGGTCAATTTTAGAACGTCTCGAACTTTCTATGGTCACAAGGGCGCTCACAGAGTCCTCCAGACGGCTCAAGACGCCCGCGAGACGCTCCCCAGAAGAGCCCAAATCGGCATAACTTTCGGTTAAGCATATCGCATAATCGACAGCCTCAGGGGCTCACGCCACCGCTCGTCAACATCCTGAGAGGCCCACAGCTGGATCCCCAAGGCAGTCGAAGAGAGTCCCAAGATAGCCCCAGAATCGCCCAAGAAACTGCAAGGGGGCGGGAAGAGGGCCCAACGCATCCACGGAATGTCCCCTGAGAGTTTCGAGACCCCGCGAGTCTCCCAGAGCGCTTCCGACAACCCCGCAAACTGCCCCCACCGCGCCCTCGAGAGGCTTCCTGCGACGCCCCATCAGCCACCCACGCAACCGCGCACCCACAAACACTGGCACGGTGGCGGGCTGCGTTGACGGTGATGACGACATGTTATCCAGCTCGCTGCGTCGCCACGTGGTGAATCGGATGTGTCACATGCTTTCCGCCTGCATTCCCGCCCCGCCCAATTGCCGCGCAGCGCGCAGCAAGCCTCGCGCGCGACGAGCAAGGGCGCAATGCCGTGCTTCCGCCGCCCGGGCGTCGCAGTGTGAGGAGCGGCACAAAACGACTCGAGCGAGGCGTTCCGTTTCCTGGGTCCTCAGGCGCCCCGCCTGACGAGCGCCTTCGCAACGTCGCTCCTCGCTGTCGGACTTGGGCGCTCGCCTCATAGAAACGGAATGACATCCCCCCGCCCGGGCGCGTTGCCGCGGGGGAAATCGATCGGCGCGGAATGGCTCCCGCCACTCTTGAACCCGAGCGCCTGCGGATCTGGATTGCGTCCTGCCCTCCACGCAGCGACTCCGCGGCGTCGCGCGGCGCGCGCCGCGTGGGCCGCGCGGGCCTCCGTCGACGCCCATGGAGAGCCCTCCCCACAAACCTGACTACGACTTCTCCAGGATTGCATCCCCGCGCCGGTGCGCAGCGCGCGCCGCCTGCCTCTGGCGCGCCGACGTCGAACGATCTCTCTAATCCTGCGTAGCGTCGGGCACCGCATCTGTTGAACATGGGCCGTCTGCCCCAGCATTCCTACAGGCCTACCACGGAATGTCCTCAGAACACGCAATTTTCGACGCTCTTAAAACGCACGCTCTTAAAACGCAAGCCCGACGAATGACGGCAACACGTTGTCAACCGGACGTGTTGCAATGACACCCTGGCAGACCACGCGAATATTATTGGGGGATACTTTGGTTGGCCCGTAGGCAAACCCGACGACTCGCCGCAGCTTTGCATATTCGCGCCTGCCCGCAGAGGCCGCCGCTTAGAGGCCTGGAAATGGGCGCCAACACCAACGCAGGGGTTTGCCTCCACAGGGGGAAAATGATCCTCGATTTCTGTGTTGGTGGTGAGATTTCGGTCACCTTGGAAGCCAGAGTACCACCGCCATCGCCGAGATCGGGATCTTCTTCCCTCGGTGGAGGCACACCGCCGATATTGGTGTCGGCGTCAACCTCTAGGCCCGCGAGCCGCGCACGCGGCGCCCGGCGCGTGCTCGCAACGACGCTGCACTCGCGGCCCAGAGCGCGCTGATGGCCCGCGTGGGCCCGCCCGCCGACGAGACGACGCGCGCGCTGCTCCTCTCCGCGCGCTGCAGAGCTCCCCGTTGCCCCCCCACGTCCTGTCTTTGAACTATTTTGTTGCGTGTGCCTTTTTTCTCTTTCTTTATGTTTGTGTTGTTTCCTCTCTCTCTCTCTCTTGTTGCTTGTATTCCTCTCTCTCTCTCTCTATCTCTCTTTCTCCTCTTGCACTCTCTCTCTCTCGCGCGCTGTGTTAGCTTCCCTTTCTTGTTTGTGTGTCTCTCTCTCTCTCTGTATCCATATCTCTTTCCGTCTCTTATATATATATATATATATGTACATATATATATATATGTATATATATGCATGTATACATATATGTGTATGGTCCTTCTGCTTTGTTTCCTCATCGAGCGCTCCGACCTGCACCCCTGCGCGGGCGGCGTGGCCACATCGACGCGGCCACTGTGCATTCGCGTTCGAGCAAGGGGCTCTCGGCGAGAACCGGCATTGCCGATGGCGCCGCAATGATAAATCCGCCGTCGCACGCGCGGAGAAGAATGGCCGGCCTCCGCCGACTCCGCCGCTGGGCCCCGCGAGCCCGAAACAGCCCCGCGCCTGCGCGGCCCTGCGCCGCCCCGCCCGCCCTCGGGGCGGGCGCCGCGGCCCGATCAAATCATGCGCGGTGCTGGCCATGTCCCCGCCGACTGCGCCTTCGCTTGCTGCCGACATCCGCCCGCGGGTCGCGCGCGACCGATGCGACACTCAGCGCGCGCGGCTGCGCGCCGGCCCCCGGCGCGTCGGAAAGAACGGCGCGGCGCAATCGAGCGCTGCGCACTGCTTGCCACTGCCCAAGGCCGCGCGCTTCACCCCCGCCGACCTCCTTCGCCTTCCGCCGCGCCCGCGCGCGGGGCGCGCGCGGCGCGCGCGACTCAGAACCCGCGCGGCTTCTCGGCGGCCCCGAGCGCGCCTGAAGGAACACCGCGGCCCAATCATGCGACCCACATCCCCTTCGCTCTCCGCCGACCTCCGCCGACGCAACTCGGGGCCCGTGCGGCCCCGCGCCCCGGCACTTCCTCGGTGCGTCAAAACGTCAAACTCGCAAAACTAGCGAACGATCTCCACGCTTCCCCCCAAAGTTCCGCGCATGCCGGAGCGACTACTCTGCGCCGCTCACGACCCCCACCCCCAAATCTCAAATCTCTGCTGCGGAGTAGCCAAGAGAGCCACGCCGAACACCATCGTGCGATGCTGCGGGAAGGGCGCAATGGCGCTGCGCCACCACCTCCAGGTCCCCCCACGTCGAGTGCTGACCAGCAGCCTCGAGCCAGTTCTCGCTCCTCACCGACGCGAGAATGGCAATGCACGCGCG